CCCCGCATTATCTGGCCCGTGTGACCGGGGCCTTGATAGGAATTTCCTACACAGAAGCAGGCAATTGCAATCCCCCGCTGCCCATCCCTTGCCTTGAAAACCCCGGGGGGGGGGGTGACAATGAGTTGGTTGCGACTTGATGCCATGAAATTATTATTATTATCAAGGGTCATTTCGTAGAAAAAGATGTGCAGGAGCTCATTAGCATAACTCATTAGCATAACTCATTTGCATATGCCACACCCCCTGACATCACCGGAAGTGTGCCAAAAGGCGACACCCACCGCTCAGGCTCCACTGGACTGTTTTGGATTGCTAGCTACTGGGGGGGGGGACGCGCAGATCTGCCCTCACAGAGGAGGGAGAGCTTGTACCTGAATAAAACTTGGTCTTAAAGGTGCCACTGGACTGTTTTGGAACCGGTGGGCCAAGAGGGGGCTCTGCAGCTTACCTGGATGCTTCTTGCTCTGACTGACGGCTGCTGGGAGCAAGGGGCGGGGCTTGTTGTATGTGCCCGCCCCCTGGGTTCTTTACTGCCGGAGCGCCGCTCCTGTGCGCTCCTGCAGGAAATGACCCCTGATTATTATTATACAGTTAAATGATAATAGAGGAGATTGAATGCACCGTCTAAGGCTGAGTGAGTCAAGAGCAGAGGAAGGGATTTTCTACATATTCTCAGTTGCAGTGAAGTGAAGAGGTGCGCTCTGCATATAAGGTAAAGGGTAAAGGTTTTCGTTGCTCGAAAGCCAGTCGAATCCTACTCTAGGCGTGCGGTGCTCATCTCCGTTTCCAAGCCGAAGAGCCAGCGCTGTCCGAAGACGTTTCCGTGGTCATGTGGCCGGCATGACTAAACGCCGAGGCGGACGGAATGCTCTTACCTTCCCACCAAAGCGGTACCTGTTTATCTACTTGCAGTTTCTTGCTTTCAAACTGCTAGGTTGGCAGGAGCTGGGGCCGGAGATGGGAGCTCACTCGGTCCTGCGGCACTCGGGTCTCAAACTGCTGAACTACCGATGTTCCAGTCTGCAGTTCAGTGTCTTAACCACTTGAGCCAACGCAGCCCCTACTCTGCATATGCATAG